GGGTTGGAAAAACAGGCAGATTCGGTTATAACAACAAGTACTGGACTGGGTTTTATTAGGTCAACTAAAGGTCTTACAAGGTCAAGAACAATATATATATATGTATGTGTATATATATATACATAAAGAAGGAAGGAAGAAAGAAAGCTCAGGTAGGATAGCACCAAATCACCATGAAGAATCCAGTACTGTCACATAATTAGGGTTGCCATGCACCAGTCCAAGCTCACCTGCAATGGAGAAAAAGATAAAATATTAGAGAATTTCAATCTAAATTGTTTAATATATATGTATAGGTTTGCTCCATTACAGTGTGGAAGCTTGTGGTTTGGTTTCTTGTTGCCTGAAAGCTTTTCTTTTTCATTTTCCTCCATGGTTTTGTGCAGATGAAGACAGGTTAAAGGAGGATGATGATAAGTAGAGGGACTGTTGTAGGAGAAAAGTGAGAGAGAGGAGGGTTAGGCTTTATATAAAAGCTGAAGAAGAAGGGGATTTCATGGTCAGTCCCATGGAGCCAACTACGTGGCAGATTGAGGTCCGTTGATTCAGCTTTAGTTCATTGTCGTCGAACCAGTATGTTTGTATATATATATTCTCTTACACGACTTTTAAACAATTTTCTGCTGATGGAGTTTTTTTAATTTGGTTTTTAGTTAATTATGTAATGATAAATGATTTGTATAGTTTAAATCTTTATTGATATTGAGCCTAAAGTTACAAATACAAATGTTATCACTTTAAGTGTTAAGGTTTAAAATTTCCTTGAATTTTTTTGTTAAGTCCAAATCCCTAATCCTAACCCACCGATGTCACCCTTACCGGCCACTGTCCTTGTTGTAGACGTAGTCATTTTCATCTTCCTAGTCATACATCTTCATACTTATCATTGATTGGTTGTCGGGATCGCGTGAGACGCAATATGCAGCGTAGGGTTCATCGGGGGTACAAACATCGATTGGCCATCGACTGGTCATGATTTCATAGGGTTATCGATCATTAGATGGAGGTGAGATCGGTGGGAGCTTCGTCAACAACAAAGGGCGGGCAGGTGGCGTGGGTTTAGGGGTTGAAAAGAGGTTTTTTCAAAGTTTTGGGACTTTTAAAGTATTTCAAATTTTTTGAGTTTTCTAATTGTAATTTTAAATAAAAAAAAAAATAAAATTACCCAAACATGACATGTGTCATTTAACGGCATAATTTAACTATAGTTACAGCCCGGACACCTAAAAATAACGTTTGTAACATTAGACACTTGGATGGTTCAAAAATATTTGAGTACCTATTTGAAAAAAAAATATAATTTGAACACCTTTTTTTATATAATTATGACTTTTTCTATTGTATTAAAGTTTATGTTGTATAGTTATAAAATTATATTGTATTATACTATAAGTAGAACCTCGAGTGCGGAGAGCGTGCGAGCAAAGTAAGCATCGGCATCACAGTCTCCTAAGAAACATTTGGTCAAAATACATATAATCACCTTCTTCCATTCCTTGGCCTGCGTTCTTCATTAATTAATACTCTATTTTTTTATCTCATGGATCTTCTCTATTTCCTCATTTTCATATTCAAATTTTATGAATAAGAAAACCCTAATTGTTTTATCTTTCTATACCCGACTTGAACTCGAACATAAGAGGGACGAGAGTAAAAGATTAGTTTATTTTTTAATTAATCTGAAGGATTATAAGGTAATATACGTTCGAAATACTTTCGATTATTTAACTATTAACATATAAATTCATATTCAGATGTCGTACTTAAACTGAGATCTCTACGGATAACAATAATCTCTTTTCCCGTCGAAATTGCTTGATTCGCAATTAATTTGTGTTTTAAATATGCTCTATGCAAGAACAAACCTACTTTGATCTCTCAACTTTTCTATTCAGCAACTCCAAAGTCATTGTTAGTTTCAATTACTCTTTAAGTCCCTATTAATTTTATAATCAATGAATCAACCTAGTTTGACTCATAACCTATATACTTTAATTACTTTTTAAGTCCATCAGTTTTGAAATCAAAGAAATTAATCCTTGCCCTCTAACTTTTATTTGAGATGTGATGTAAAATTGGATAGAGAGAATCAATCATTGAAACCAAATAGTATATATATATGTACGTCCGTAGCGCATTGGAGGTGCATGAAGGTGTTGCATTAGGCAACATGGAAATGGGTTTTGCCTGTATCAGATTGGGGAAGTTGATGTGAAACATGAGACCCTGAATTTTATAAGTTCAACTTCAGTCCACTAAAAAATTTCAAAATTCAAGTTCGTCCTCCCTAACATAAAATCATACGTCCGTCTTTACCTATATCATCTATCAAACCCCCTATTCCTTTAAAGACGGCCGGAGTGTGACTTTGCCAACCCGTACCTATTGAGCGTCTCTGATTAGTCGTTCAATTCTAATAATGTCGCTCTTCACCCAAATTTATCAGTAACCACATCCTTAATACCCCTCGATCTATCTCGGCGTACGATGCCTCTGAATAACTCATAGCTCCTAATAGCCAATGATACTTACGCTTAATGGTAAGGTGGCCCTAAGAACTTAGGAAATTTGAGGTTGAGTCTTATCCTTTATAAATTATATGTGAATTTTGTACGAATTTATTCGAATATAGGATCAAATATATTAATTAATTATTTTTTTTCCATTTCCTTTCATAGTGCCTTTAAGTCCAACTTGGAGCCTGTCGTGGTATAAGAGAGGCCCAAAAGGGTACAAAAAAAACTCTGCAAAGATTCTTGCAGACAAAATATTATTAATTCGAACTCTTGGTTGCTTGCGATTGGTGGCCCCACATACAATTTTACAGGTAAAATATTAGGATAGAGAAAAAAAATTCAGAATATAGAAAGGCAAATTAAAATACCAATCCTAATTTTTTAATTAAATATCATCTTTAATAATTTAGTTTTTGAATTAAAACTATTTTAGGTTACTTTTTATATTAACATTAATAGAATGTCTTACTTACATGATAGTGGATCATAATTTTCAAAGTTTATACTTTGGGAGTGTTCATCAAAGGTGTATGTATATATATATATATATATATATATATATATATAATTAATTTTAAAATAATACCATTTCATGTTGTCCGTCATGACTATAATATCGTTAACTATTTAATGATATTTTTATATCATTAGTTTATGATGATTATAAGGTTGTATTATTTTTAAAAATTAATTTATTTACAATGCACACGATGACCTGAGGCGTCATCAAGAATGGATTAATGGGAAATGGGTCATTGCTTCCAAGGTAATAATTCTTGAAAACCCTCGGAATCCACTTGGCCTAAGGGTTCTTATTGAGCCTTAATCTTGAAAACCAGCATCATAGGATCAAATACAAGGAATACTTGTTTACTTTCTTCCTTCCAGGACACTAGCTGAACTACCAAGAGATTCGCAGCCATTACGGATCGGTCATCGGCTACACCCGAACTTGTAAGTCTTATATAATGCGTGAACCATGTTAAATGTCAGTTCGGATCTTTAGAATATTATTAATCCATACTAATTTTAAAAAATTGAAATTAGAGGTGATTATTATTAGACTGAGATTCTATTGGAACAATATAATTTAGAGTTTAGGGATTAATTTAGAATCTAACTTATAGTTTAAGGATGTCTAATGTATTTAATCGATTAGTAAATGTTTAGCAGATTCTATCTCCATTGGAGGGTTTATCGTTAAACGCATTTTTATGCATCCCATTAGCGAAGTTTAAGGGACGACAATCTAATTTAAATTTAAAATACGATAATCTTGTAGCGCAACCAAAAATGAGATAAAAGTTATAACATTTTAGGCTCAACACAACTTAAAATGTTATATTCTTTCTAACATTTTAGTTTAAATCGAAAATGTTATATTCTTCGTAACATTTTAAGTTCAACCGAGAATATAACAAAAATAATCACATTTTAAGTTACGTTTAACCTAAAATAAGATATTTTTATCAAATTTTTAATTATACCTTAAAATCACTGATTTTTAGTCTTATATTAGATTATTGCAAAGCAGAATCACTCCCACCTCTACTCCTTTGGTCCTTCCCAACCAATTGCCAACTTTTATGGTCATTATCCTAATTTTCCCTTTTTAGATTTAATAAAAAATAGCTCTCCAAATTATATATATTTTCTCTTTTTAATCGGCAATAAATTGGTCTGCTGAGATGAGATATTAGTTTCCTTAAACAATGTCAAGGTTCAAATCCTGACATTTGTAAATGGAACAAATTGGGTTGGGAGGATATTCATCGTCCTCTGCAATACCCAATCTAGATTAGTCGGTCAATAAATCGGATATTATTAATTAATTTAAAAAATTATATATATTTTAATTTAAATTCTTGAAATTCTCTTCTTAAAGAAAAATACTTAATATTTTGTAATTATATTAAGATTAAATCATCAATTATTATCAAATAAATGTATAATATATTGTTAGTTTTTAAATTTTAAAAAATTTGAAATGTAAACTTTTTTAAAATGTTAAATCTCCTAAAATATCAAATCTCTGGACTTCATCTAACACAGATTAATCAACCACCATTATTCATTTCTTCTATGGTCGGATCCCAACCTATCTATCATATAAAAAGTTCTTAATTATTTAATAATGAACAGATAAATACTATGTAATCTGAGATATATAAAGATAATAAACATTTTTTTTTATCAATTGTTAATAATTATATCTTAAAATAATAAGAAAATAAAACATTTTATACATATTTTATTAAAAAATATTAAACACCTAACACGAATCGAGTGACCTCAATAATAAAAGAATTTTTGTTATTTTATGAGATCTTGTGTTCGAACACCGAAAATGTGAGAGGTGAACGATTTAATGTTAGATGATTAAGAGTTATTTTATAACAGATATCGTCTTTTACTTACTTCAGATTAATAAAAAAAAATCATACAACTAATGATAAGATGTTTAAAGAACAAAAACCTGAGTAATTAAAAGACAAACAAGTTTTAACCCTAAAATACCAATTCACGGAGTCTACAATTTGATCTAAAACATTGATAAAGTTGCACGATTTCTAAACCAAGCTAAGCTGTTCTCAGAACATTAACCGAATATTATGCATATTACCACATCGAACATGAAAATAGATTTTAAAGAGAGGAAAAGGAGAGAGCGAGAGAGAGAGAAATTGACCTAAATGACAGCCGCCATCACTGATCCTTTCATCAGCCCTATCGCTTGGGGGGCCTCTCATCAACATCCTCTCCGCCGTCATCGGAATCATCTTTGCTCGATCTCTTCCTCTTTGGCGGAGCTTCAATCTTTCCGCCACCTTCGTCGTCATCTTCTTCTTCCTCTTCTTCATCAGCGTCCACCTCACCGTTTTCTTCTGGATCGAAATCACTAGCGTCCTCTTCATCTTCGGCACGACCTACGGGCCGGACAAGGTATTCCGTTCCCATATCCTCCTGAAAGAAAACAGGTTAACAGAAAATCACGAAGAAAAAGATTAGCGAGACTAATTTTCTAGTATATTTTCCAAGTTGCCAAACATGGAAACATGTTTGGCTAACTGAGAAACAACAAAGGAATTAAATTTTTGTCAAAATATAAGAGTAGATCTAAAGCTCTAAACCATCCAAAGCACAAAAGAACGAATTTGAGTTTTGGATTTTGATACTGGCCATGAGCTATATGTTTATGGATCTGTGAAATAAAGGTGATCAAATAACTGTAAAAATCAAAGATACAATTAACGGAGAGAAAAATCGCTAGTTAGAAAATAGATCTGATGAAAACTGAAGAACCAGCAAAAACACTCGTCCTAGTGAAAAAAATCAAACAATTAGCCAAAATTATGTTAGAAAAACAATGGATCTGAACAGTTTCAGTTGTGGAAGACTTGGAAATACAAAAATTTTCAAAAGATTAACAGGTATTAAAGTAGATTTAACGAATTTACCTCTATAAATCAAGCAATTAGCCATAAAAAGCGTGGGAAAAAACAATAGATCTGAACAGTTTTAGCTGAAAAAATACTTGAAAATACAAAAAAAAATCAAATAATCACAACAATTAACTGTAATTAAGTTAGATTAAAAGAATTTACCTCCTCTTCACCTTCTCCATCGTCGTCACTGTTGTCGTCGTCGTCGTCATCTCCGTCACCTTCACCGTCTTCATCTTCATCTTCGTCATCTTCATCCTCTTCCTCGTCGTCATCCACTGAGTGGACCGGAGGACCACTGGAAGAGTGAATAACCTGCACTTCATCGTCTTCGTCGTCCTCTCCTTCGTCGTCTTCCTCTCCTTCGTCGTCTTCGTCATCCTCTCCGTCATCGTTGTCGTCTTCCTCTTCGCCGCCGTCCACTTCACTTTCATCTTCACCATCAGCCTCTTCTTCTTCTTCCTCTACCGCAGTCTTAATTTCATTTTCCTTCTCAAATTCCCTCTCCTCTTCCATCAACTTCATCTTTAGAAAAACTCGACCTAGAAAATTTTTCCCTCTATTTTCTTCCTCAATATTTTCAGAAATTACGAAGAGAGAGAGAGAGAGAGGAAGCTTGTTTGCTCTATCTACCAGTAGCTTCTGCAACGGGGATCTCAGCCGTTGAAACGGGAATTCACGCGGATTGATGACGTGGAGAGTGATCGAACGGTCTAAAGGAGAGAATTATGTATTTCTATGATAATTGATTCCTTGCGCGCGTCTTTTTCCACTTTTCTTCCTCAGCTGCTTCTCACGTGCGAAAAATTGTGTGTGTGGGAGGGGGGAACCAATGGGCTAGGGTTAACGGTTTGTCTTTTTAGGTAAATTTCGAGTTTAATACTTAAATTATCAGTTTTAGTCGATTTAGTATCTAAACTTTCATTTTTTCAAAATCATACCTAAAGTTTATGTACTAAAACTGATAATTTAGGTAAAAAAACGTTAAGTATTTAATGGCATATGTACTAAAATGAAATGAAAATTAAATATTAGATATAGTTTTTTTTAAAAAAAAATAAAAGTTTAAGTACTATCAAAATTAATAGTTTAGATATCAAATATACAATTTATCCATTTCTATTTCTTCGAAACCATTTCCATTGCTTTGCATTGGGCCCTTAAAATTGAAATCCATAGTTCAAAGGTTGAATCTCTTTTGAGAATATTCATGGCCCAAAATAGATAAAATTATAGATAAAAATTAAAAGTTTATTTAATTCCGATATTAGTATAGGATCTTTTTATGTCATCCACTTACACTTAGGGTGCGTTTGGTTCACGGAATGTAAGATTACCAATGGGAATGTAAGATTACCAGGAAATAGGATTACAAGGAATATTATATTTTGTGTTTGGTTGGCTTAGCAGGAATGTAAGATTACCGTGTTTGGTTAAAGGAATAAAAGATTATTGAAATGTATATTTGACCAAATTGTCCTTATTATATATTTGTATAATATTACAAGTTGAAAAATATTTATATATTTTCTTTAAAAATTTACCTGAACTTCATATAAAATTTTAATTATATACTTTTTTTGTAAATCTATAATAATTTAAGGATAAATTTGTAATTTAACATTCGTAGAATTTTTATTATTCAATGACAGAAGAATGATGTTTTTGAAAAAAAATAAAAATTTAAAGACATTTTAATCCAAAACACCGGTAATCCAATAATACATAAGGAAAGGGAGGTAATGACATTCCCGGTAATATACCCAAAAAAATCTACTATTGGTAATCTTACATTACCGGGAATGGGATTCCCGGGCTAACCAAACGTGGGAATGTGGATTCCATTCCCATGGGAATCCAACATTCCCCCATCCAAACACCCCCTTAGGGATGGGCATAGGACTTGAATCGGACAGGTTCCGACCCGATACGACCTGATTTGGTCGGATTTAAAAATAAAAAAATAGGGTTCGGGTCGAGTTTTTTTAAGTGTGCATTTCGAGTCGGTTCGTGTTTATGGTGAAAATATCCGACCTGATCCGACCCGAAAAAATATATGATTTTATATTATATATTTAGGTATAATTTTAATAATACTCCTCTCTATATAATTTTTTTTCAATTAAGTCACTGTTTTTATTGAATAAAAATAACATTTTATTATTATTTCGGGTCGGTCAGATTTTTAAGTTATATTTCAGGTCGGGTTAGGTGAAATTTTATTTTGGTCGGATGGACCAGAAACCCGACCAAACCCATGCCCATCCCTACATCCACCTCGATTCAAAATTTAAGAATGTTTTACCCGATTCAAAATTCAATCATTTTTTATAGGTAAAAACTCACTCTTGCACTCAATATATATATATATATAATTTTTATTTTTATTAGATAAAATAAAGTCCTGATAAAAAATATAGAAATGTATCATAATAATTATCTCTCAATATATAAAAATTTATTATACTATTATTTTCGGATTAGAACAATTTTACCCTAAATCAAAATTTGACCGAAATATTTAAAACGAAAAGAAAAAAAATAGTCTTACAAGATGGGTCAGAAGCTTCAAATTTGGTCAAATGCCTCTCTCTATACCATAATAATACTCCAAGCCACTTCCCATCATTCAATTCTTCCTCAAATAATATAATATATGATATAAGAGAAATTGAACTGCGAGTATGCCAGAATGAGATTTTATCTAAACACAGAGATCCCATAACAAAATCAGTATCAGATAAGCCAATGTGCAGGCAAATTATTGAGAACCATATGACCAAGGATTTACATGGTAATTTAACTCACCCCCCTAAACATCACATACCATAGACATAAACAAGGGATAGATCACCACCAAAATTATACTCCATTGATCACTCTTAGTAGGCTACAAATGAAACACCATTGCACCCTTTTACCCAGAAAATCTTCCCGGCTTTTCCTTCGCTTCTAAACCCGCAACCTGCTCGACTAAACTGAACATAAGAAAGTGGATCAGAGATAGGTTTTTCGTAAGATTACAATTCTGTTGTTTAAAGTGATAAAAGAGTTTCAGAATGAACAACATATCGAAATGCATATATTGAACTGTTTTGCCACTATAACTGTTACGTACTAGGGAGATACGGAATGTGCTTGATCTCGAAAGCTTGCGGATGAGTTCCCCGAGAACTGGAGTGAATTTGGACTCCCACTACTGCCGCTGCTGGCAACGGAGATCCTTGGTGAGTTGTCGGTGTGCCTCCGGGCGACTTTCCTGTGTAGAAAGAACGAAAAGAAAACGATCTAGTCAATATTGACAGTTTGGATACCTTGATCAATCACCTTTTACCAGTAACTCTAAAGTCGAAACCTAAAGCATCGTAAATCTAATCTAATCATGCAAGCCAAGGATTTGCATGGTAGTGAATCCAAAACATTACCTTGAAACAGCATGACAAGACAAAAAATGACAGTAAACACCATGGCAAACATGTTGCTGCTGCTAGAAGATGTTGGTTTGGTGGCACTAGCAGATTTCAATTTCTTCAAGGCTCCCATCCGTTTGATCCTCGCACGCTTCAACCTCGCGAGTTCTGCGATCTCCCTAATTAGTTTAAGGTCAGCTGCATCCAACGATGGGGCTCTTGGTGGCCTAGGAGGTTTAGAAGGTTTCTTGTTACCCAATCTTTTACGTTTCTCCTTCACTAACATATTCTCCTTAGCATCTTTACTATCTTGTCCCTTCACATCCATGCTCTTCATGGAATTCTCTGCATTAACCCTACCGGAATTCGAAGCACCGCCGGACAAAGACACTCTATTATCCAACCCCTCGGCGGAACCGCCTTCCACGACCTTGGCAAGCAACGGTTGTCCGACAGTTGTGATTTCATTTCCGAGGCCGAGTTCTAAATCTGTAAACCTAGAAGCCATTTCATCCATGGAAACACACTCCAGAATCTAAATTCCCAGTCCTGAAATCTTAAACTTTGGGAATGCGAACAAGAAACTTCAACTTGAAGAAGCAAAGATGGTAACTTTCAAGCTTTAAACTCACACAACAACAGCTTTCAACAAGCCTTAATATCAAACTCTGCATCCATCAACAGAATACAAAAATCTCAATAGATAAATCCCAAATGCCAACAAAAACACCAATCCAAGCTGGAATATAATCAAAGAGGATCAAAAGGACAAATATTTCGTATATACAAAAGCAATACAAATAAAAAACAATTGAAACCCAGAAAAGATACCAATCAAAACCCAACATTCATCGCAACCAAATAAAGAAAAGAGCATCGTTGATCAAACAAAATACCTTGGAAAATAAAGCATGAAGAACCCAGATCCGACGCTAAGTGGAAAAGGCCAGAAAACGAGTTGGAAATGGATGCGATGTAAAGATATAAGAGATTTGGATTCAAAAACGCGCACACACACAGGGAAAGGAGAAGATGGAACTTGGAAATTGGTTGAATTAAGTGAGAGATTGAACGGAATGGTAACTTATTTTTCTCTGTAAGCAAGCAGAGAGAAAAGAGCTACCATTATTCTGGGTATTGTTTAGATTTAAATACGAAATCGCACCGACACATGGCACTCCCCACCGGTGGGCTTCCCCCTTCGTTTTCTCCTTTAAGCACACTTTCGTGGCCATCAATGCTCTTCTTTTCTTTGGTCTTTTCTAATCTCTCCATCTTCGGCACATTTTTGTGATGCTTATTGTAGGTTTAATTGTGGGTTTAATCCCTCTCCTACATTAAAATATAGATTTAGTTATTTTATTACTATTAGGGTAAAGTGTATAACTAGTCCTCGACTATGGGATGATGCTTTGACGAGTCTTTCTACTATTAAAAGTTAAAAGATAGTCCTCTAACTATAAAATATTACTTTGTTGAGTCACTTGACTATTAAAAGTTACAAAATGATCACTCAACTATTCATTATATTTCAAACTTGTCATTTTCTGTTAAAATTTGATGGCAATATGAGTTGAGCGTTAATTTGTTGAGTGTGATATGATAAAATATTATTCCAAAATCTCAAACGACTATCATATCTCAGTCATCATGTTAACTTTCAACTAGAACAACAATCAAACTTTAAAAAAAAAAATGATGAGTTTGAAACATAATAAATAATCAAATGACTATTTTGTAAATTTTAATAGTTTAATGACTTAACAAAACATAGTCAGAGGACCATTTGTACACTTTACCCTTATTATTATTGGTTTAATTTAGAAACAATAAATTAAAATATTTTTTTTCAAGTGCTTAGTTTTTTACAAAAGAAAGATAAAATATTCACTTTTTTCATATAAACTACTATCTTTAATGATGTTTTCGGGAAAAAATATTCATATTTCTTATGGTAAAGAGTAGAGCTGGGTATATGGGTTAAAGCTCGCGGGCTACCTGTTTAACCCGTGATCTGTGCGGGTTTTGAACATCAAAAATTGAAACTCGTTTAAATTGCGGGTTTTTTAGTCCGGACCGTTAAACCCTTAGGTTTAATAGGTATAACCGAGGGTAGCCCATGAAGCCCGCAATAGTCCGTTTAATTTAAAATTTATAAAATTTTAGAGAAAATAAACTTAAAGAATTTTATAGAAAAATAAAATAAATTACCTATAAATATGATGTTACTTATAACCATTGTAGTTCTTAAATTTATTAGGGCATTTGTCATAATTCTACTACTACTTTATATTTTTTTTTCATTTACAATGTATCAAAATATTCTTCATTAAAAAAAAATAAAAATTAAAAGATTTATAGAGTATTTTAGTCTTATAAAATTTACATCATTATCACTTTGGTATTTAAAGATTTTTTTATTTAATTTTGACATTTATTTATTTCATGAAGTATGTTATCTATTTCGTTCTTTAATTATAAAAAGTCACGTTATATTATAATAATATATATCACATGACACGTAATATTTGGATTAAAAATAAGAAAGAAAAGTAAAAGAAAAAATTGAAAACATATTTTTCAACTTTTAAAGGCTTTTACAAAAAAAAATTGATAGATTTGTATAATGTTTGACTTTGTTGAATTTTTCTGTTTGAATTTCTGCTTCCAGACACTTTTGTGTCTTCATATTATAGAATTAAATAATTGTGTTTTATAAAAGTATAATGTGATTATTATTGTTTGTTTTTTAATTTGGTGATATAAGTGAATATTGTTTTTTTTAATTTGAGTTTAAGTAATTATATCGTTATATATATTAATGATTAAAAAAATTAAAAAATATTATTTTATAATCATTTCCGACTATTTAAAATAAAATTTAAATATTATTTATTTTTTTTTGACGGTGCTACCTTCCTTTTCAAATTACTGGATCATTTTTAAAGGTGTAGCAAGTTAGAACATTATTTTTTATTGCATTTAAAATATTTAAAATTATTTTTATTTAACGGGTCGCGGGTAAACCTGTTTAACCCGCGAGTTAAATGGACGAACCGCGGACCTTAGAATTCAAAACCGTTTATAATTGCAGGCTTTTTAAACCGCTCTGTTTAAACTCGCACCGTCAAAACCAGTAAGGTAAACGGACGGCGTGTACCCACCTCTAGTAAAAGTTGGAATAACATTTTTAGAATACAAATTTATGTCATCATTTCAATAATAAGAATAATAATGTTATCAATCTAAACTTGGGGATTGCATTATTATAAAAACTAAACTAAATAAATAATGAACAAACTATTTCTATTAATAATTTTTTATTTTAATTGAATTGATATGATTTCGCAGTGGCAGCCATCCATTGAACATGGGTTTTAATAAAATATGTAAAGCAAAAGGGAAGAACATCAATCATTTTTTAACCCAACACGTTGCTTTCAATAATAATTTGTGATTTATCGAACAAAAATATTGTATTAAAACATCCTTATTCAATGATATACTAATATCAAACTTTTTAAATTAGTGTAATACAAATATCAACACTAATAGTATTTTGGGTAAATTACACATTTAATATTTGAACTATCAGTTTTGATTCTTTTTAATACTTAAACTTTTAATTTTTTCAAAATCATACCTGAAGTTTAGTTTTTATTTCGTTTTAATACCCGCTGTTAAAAACTTTAATTTTTGTTTCATTTTAATATCTTGTTCAAAATTTAACTTTAAATTTTGAAGAAAATTACAAGTTTAGGTACTAAAACGGACCAAAATTGATATTTTAGATACTAAATGCATTAAGCTTTTTACAGGGTACTGAAATGAAATAAAAACTAAACTTTAGATATTATTTAAAAAAATAAAAAAAAATTAGATACTAAAATAGACCAAAACTGATATAGCAAAATCATTATTAATAGATAAAGTAAATGTAGTTTTCTTATGTGCTAATGGGAGTACGTTTTATGTGTGCAATTATAAGCAATTAGGCCATTCAAATACACATTTAGACTAGAACCCAAGGACCGAACCCTTAAGTGATCTGAATTCGAACAATTTAATCTCTCTCTCTCTCTATATATATAGATTTATATATATTTAAAATCATATACAAAGACTACTTTGTAATTTAAGAAATAAAATGTGAAAGTGTAAATTAAGTTAAGAATAAGACACTAACATTTGATGATAGCAGCACCACTTGATGGCTTTGAGGCGAAAACATAGAGACCAAGGTCATTCCTGTTGATCGTACCTTTGTCAATCCTAGATTTGTAGAATTGGTCCTGGCATGTAATCAAAATGTCAACTTTCTTTTCTATGTCCGTAAAATGCAAACGAAAACGTAACACTGCCGATATTATACCGTCAAATTGGAGATGAATTGAGGTACGATACTCTCTTTAACCAAGGCCACCGCGCAACCACCCCAGCCGGCTCCGGTCAACCTTGCTCCTAGTGCACCGTTATTTCTGCAAACGTTTACTAGTTCCTCCAACTCCGGGCAGCTAGTTAAATAAAGAAGGAAAGATAATCATGTGGACTAGCCGTCATACAAAGTATTTTCACGGAACATCGAAGATCTTCCATGTTCCATGAAAATAGAACCATAGAGTGAAAAGTTGTATCATGCATAAGGAGTGATGTATATTGACGGACTCTAAAGTCTAAACATATTGTGATTGTCGTACCTGCATTCATAAAGAACACTACAGCTGTAATGGCTTTCGTTCATCAGATCACCGAGCTTCTTCAGCTTTTCTTCCTCGCTACAGTATGAGTTATGAAATTAATAAAAATAGCAAAATGAGTTTAGTTGGCCGGGAAAATGTTCGATAAATTTTCAGCCCTAATCAATACAATCATATATTGAAATGTTCCCCAAGAACTCCAATCAGCTGAGGTTCAGTCTCCAGGCACAGGAATATATCTCCATTGCACCAGTAAAAAATCACCTTAGGGGAATATTAAGGAGTTGTATTCCTTGAAAATTTTACGAGAATTTGCGGAAAACTATAGCTATTGAAGTCACCTTAAGTTCGATGCCACAGTATCCTTGAACACATGAACTCGGTTGGCTTCAGAGTACACATGAGCAGCTCTCTTGAAAGTAGGATAAAGTGAACAATGAATACAATAACATAAAGCGTAAACTACGCATTTAGTACCTAAACTATCGGTTTTAGTTCATTTTAGTACCTGAGCTTTCATATTTTTCAAAATCATACCTAACGTTTAGTTTTCATTTCATTTTAGTACCCTCCATTAAAAACTTGAAGCGTTTAGCACTTAAACTATCAGTTTTGATTCATTTTAGTACCTAAACTTTCAATCTTTTCAAAACTTAACATTAAATTTTGAACGAGATACTAAAATGAAACAAAAACTAAAGTTTTTAATGAATGGATACTAAAATGAAACAGAAACTAAACTTTAGGTATGGTTTTGAAAAAATTGAAAATTTTTGTACTAAAATAGACTATAATTGATAGTTTAGGTATTAAATGCATAATTTACCCTAATATAAATTATGATATTGATTTAAAAAAGGGTAAATTACAAATTTGGTAACTGAACTTTACTCTTTCTCCTATTTCACTCACGGTACTTTATATCTTTTCAATTTCTTCACTGAGCTTAATACATTGGGTTTTTTTGTCACTAAGCCGTTTTCTCACTAACAGTGTTATAAATGGGCTTTTATATAGATGCAAAAAGACATTGTTTTGGTGAAAATTTTGTTTTTTAAAACGATATCGTTTTAACGCCGTTAACTATTTAACGACGGAGTGACCAAAATATTCCAATGTATTAAGTTCAGTGAGTAAATTGAAAACTTTTAAAGTACAGTTAGCAAAATAGGAGAAAGAGTAAAATTTAGTTTAGAGATGAAATTCGTAATTTACCCTTTAAAAAACAGTTCTGTGCCTATGAGAAGTACCTGATGCAACTTGAAGTGCTTGGCTGCTTTTAGCACATCCAAAGAAGTTGGATTATCACCCAAGATTGATGGAAGATCCTTCTCGGTGATTTTCTCAATTTCTTCAGAGGTATATGGCTCGTCCTTCAAATATTCCTGCAGCAAAAAGGTAAAAATATAGTTTCAAATGATGGAAGATAAATATCATCAACTGAGACGTAACGAATAAATAAAAAAACACAAGAACATTGTGGAGGAAGAAAAAAAGAGATAGAAACCTTGACAGCAAGCATAGGATCATTAGAACTGAGACCTTTGGCAAATTGAACACATAACCCTTCAACATCAGAAAGAGTTTTGACTTTTTTTATTGCCTCTTGGGACTTCATTCCCAGCTTTATACTGAGCAAGATCTGGAATTTCGGAAAGGCGAAAGAAAAATGCACATTGTGAGTATTCCCAAAACAAGGATAAGAAAAACACCCATGAGGCACGAGAATCCCACAAAAGTGCAATCTCAATATCCTCACTTTTCACTCATCCTCTTATCCTCTCTCCACTGACACAAACATGCTTGAATGTCAGATAAGGAAATGTAGCTTACAGCAGCCAATCGACATTCAACAACTCTGTTATTATAATTTGTAGCAGCTGTAACAGCTTTTTGAGATTCTGCCAATGAATGAGCTATTACAAAGGTACCTCCAGCAGGGAGCTTCACATCAGTTGCACGAATGGGATTGAAATCAATTAGCTGAGCAAACCCATTTTTGGCCATCACAGAGATTGACTGCAACAATGGAACATGTAACGAATGGTGAACATTTTCAGCTTGATAAACACATGATGACTCAGGAAAATCGAATTACACATGTAAGAAGGTAGAAAAAGTATAACCTGGTCCATCCCACCAGACTGTGTTCCAATGTGCCGTTCACAATCACATGTAACTTGGGCAATTTCGTTCTGTCAAGAGAATGTACATTAAAATTTCAGAATTGGACTTGTGATTACCAAAGTGAAGATAACATACCTTTGGAAAGTTAACACCAAAAGCAGCCATGATAGCAATTGTGGATGAGCAAACAAAAGCTGTAGAGCTTGACAGACCGGAGCCTAGAATGAAAATGCACGATGAGAGTCGAGTTTTCTATAGGATCATACAAGCACCATCATGTGAAGGTAAACTTCTATTAATTTAGAATAGAAGTCTCAGTCTACTTGTAAGTGATGTAAAAGAATACCTGTAGGAACTGTTCCATCAATAAGTACATCAAGTCCAACTAGCTCACCGGAATCTACTCCTTTTGACTTGGCATATTCATAATAGCCTTTATACCTGGGGAATGTGGGAAATACTCGCATCATCATTTTGCAAGGTATCATAGAAACATATCAACAGTAAAAATCTATGCCATTTTATAAAGAAGTTCCACATGTGTGGCAAAGAATAAATACCAACTTCAAATTAAAAAAAAACATAAAAGGTACAAAAGAATTCAATATCTCACCCACAAAGGAAATAGTGACCCCATCTATGGTTCTTCAAGTCAATTGCCTGAAGAATCATGCATGGTTTAATGCAACCAGGAAATGGATGTTAAATACATGAACTCTCAAAGAAATAATTAGCAAGTTACATAATCATTTCAATAACCACAAGAAATTGTTGTGGAAAGAAGAGTCAAACCTGGTTAGGATCAGCAGGATAAGTACAAATAGCGTACTTATCATTGACATTAGCAATTCGGAGAAGCTTTTCAGCCTCTCCTTTGTGGCGCTTTCGGATTGCCACAATAGTGTCTTGCTGGATTGCCATCGGCAACACCGAGTATCCTTCGTAGTCAATATGTTCTCCAATCAAGTTGACTCTCCCTACATGTAAAATAGCCATTGGAGATCAAGGAATTCAAAAATCACCAGTATTCACAGTTAAATTAAACTGTCTATTTTTCTCACGATGCTGATCAGCAAACAATCAATTCGAAGTCAAACTAAACAGCATCTAACCATAACATATTATACACACAAGCATTTAAGAGAGAACCACTTACACTAATGGAAAAAAAAATAGCAAACAAATTGTTAGATTTTTAAAAAATTGATTCAAAATTCAACATTCGCGATCAACATGAAATCTAACTATGAAAAGAACATATACATACGAACATACAAAAGCAGACCTGGAGATCGAGCGAAGACCTCAGGAAGGTGGCCGAAAACTTCAAGAAACTTCGATTTCAAATTTTCGAATCGAAGCTTAGCTTCTTCGAGCTGAGATCCTTCACCGTAGACCGGTTCAAGTGAAGAATAAATAGGAACCGGAAGCTCAGCGTGATTCGCCATTGTTCTCTCTCTCTCTCTCTCTCTATCCCCCCTTGATCACCGCTGTTTTGTTTTTCTTTCAGTAATTACTCACTTTTTCTCTCTCTTTTTTTCATCTTACGTGGCCGATACGCGACATTCCCATTGGATAAAATAGTAAATATATGAAAGGATAAATTACATATTTATTACTTAAACTATCAATTTTATTCATTTAATATCTAAACTTTTAAATTTTCAAAAATATACTTAACATTTAATTTTTATTTCATTTTAATATCTTATTATTGAAAACTTAACAATGGATGATTTACAAATGACACGTTTTCATGGATAAATTACATCATTCATCACTTAATTATCTTCTAACTCCTATTTTGCATCATTCACCATGCAATTATCTTCTCACTCTTATTTTACATCATTTACCACTCAATTATCTTCTCACCGAATATTTATTGAACGACAAAATTCCTTGTGATCATTGATAGTTATAAAAAAAACGAAGATATGATTTAAATATTTATTTTCCAATGAAATCAAAATTTAAAAAAAAAGTAAAAAGCGAAATTATCAATTCGATTAAAAAAATTACCTCAATTGCTTATGTTTTGACAATAAAATCAATTTCACCCGAAGAAATTACTGCAGTTGTTGGAATACTAATGAAACAGTTATAACCCACCAAAGTTGGAAAAAAGAAATGGGCAGACAAATAAATAAATAAAAACACAAACCCCTAACTATATCATAGTAAAAACAGCTGTTACATATGATGTCCAAAACTCCCACCAACATAATTGTGTTTCTCACTTCACTTAACCCAGCAATGGAGGAAAGTGTAGATATGGAGAGAGACCACGGAGCGAAATTCTCGATCAATCGAGAAATAAACGGATGAAATTTCGACCAGAACATAAAAAAACAGGGGGTAGCAGCATGCTTTCCTCCAGCTATATCGAACAATGGTATCTCTAAGTTCATGAATCCTTGGTTGCGGAAGAAGTAGCGGTTTGACGGATTTGTCGTTGATGAACATCCCAGTTATACACACGAGCGATAGTTACCTGCTTAAAGGTAATAAACAACTACGAACCAAAAACCAACTCATGCCGACAAAATACAGATGCTGAGCATGTACTACCTGAGTTATGGTCACTTGATCCCTCAAGAACTGCAAATCAGCTATAAGAACTTCCAGGCTTGCTTTAGCGTTTTCCAAATTCTTTTTCAGTAGCGAAGTGGCCTGCACATGAAGAAGTTAATATAATTACTTTACTCTTTTTCTGTTAAGCACGCGAGCAGTTAGTGACCAGTTACGACTTTTGCACCTCTTCGCATGAATATTCCAACATGACATTTGCTCCCAGCCATAAACAAACTGAATCGTTATCCTGAATGCGAGCCCGTGAATATATGCCTTCAGAGACTTCAAAATCAGCAATAAAGGCCTATACAAGCCCGTGTAATTAAGCACAATATGAATGTCTCGTACAAGCATCGTAGGATTTGAGATCTTCACACCTAATTAAGCACAATATGAATGTCTCGTACAATTCAATCCTCATCACCAAAGCACAACACTTAGATTATATTCGACATAAGATAGAAATAAACAGAACTCATAAGTTAAATCATTTCTATAATACCCAAAATTCCAAAAAGAAATGAAGAATAAATACTTCTTTAAGCAGAAGAACCGCAATGTAAAAGTCTAAGATATCAGAAAAATACGAACCTCGCCAGTACCCTTCTTAGCTTGTAAAGTGGCAACCACGTCCAAGCATTTATCAATATCTGGAATTTTTGCCTGATGACCACAATAACAAAGCATATTAGTCATGTAACCTTGTGACATGTCACCATCTTTAAGCATGTCTCCATCTTTAAGCAACATATATTAAGCATGAACGAGGATATCTAGCCTGGTTGAATCTTTGGGAGGGAATGAACATATATTAACCCAAGTACCCAACATAAATTAGAACATAACATGGTACACATAAAAGCTTACTTCCATTCAGTATCTAAGACGGAAAGGTAAAAAGTCAGATATATTTTCAGCCTGATCCTCGGACTCTACAATTTTTTTATATAACTGCATCCGACTGATGTCTAACACGTGATATGACCTCCAAGAGTCCTCCATATACATGAAACCCATACAAAAGTCTGCCCATACGCATGCCAAATACATGGCAAAATTTTACACTTACTGTTTACTGCCTTGCCTAATCCCACGTTCCCTCTACCTTGAAATTAAAGTGATATTGAAACGGTTTTGGTTTTTGCGATAACCCCATGTTTCCGCTATCGTGTCATGCATGGTTGAGAGTGAGGAGCATTTTCCACATGATGTGAACATGGGATGGTGGAGGTTGGTATTTGATGGGGAACCACCACTATAAATAGGACTCGCCTATAGGTCTCTAAGCACATAAAACACAAGCAATTCATTTAGCGTAACTATAACATCTAGTGAGGTTCTGGAGTGCTGGGAAGGCTTTGATGGTTTCACTTTTTTGTGCAGCTACATTCGACGCGCTTAATGGTGATGTAACCACATCTCAAATCGTAGCATTCGATCTAGACAATGACTGGACGTATTTATGTTCGGTCTTTTTTTATGTGTTTATGCTCTTTCTATCCTTACACCTACACCCAAGTCCGGGTAACATGGCTTTTAGCAGTCAAAGCCTACACAGAAAGCGTGAAATACCAAGGCAAATTCTACTATTAGACGTTAACAAGTCAACTTCTTTCCAATAATATCATTATTTCACAAAACAACATTCAAAAGGAAATTGTATGAACTAACAAGCATTTTCCCAATCAAACTCACAACACTTTGCCATGGACCCCTGACACAGGAGCTTATATCTTTACAATACTTACTAATTTCAGTTTTGTTAAATATTAGAGATATTTTAGATGGCTATGATTATAAGTTTCCTTTATGCTTTCAATCTAAGGCTAAGATCTTAATACAATATACCTGAAGATCTCGTTGCTGAGCAAGAAGTTTCATCTCAACCAACTTATACTGCTGAAGCCTGCAAATTCAATAAGCTACAGCCAAATAAGCCTAGGATCTTAAATCCCAACTAAATACAAAAACAAAATAGAACTCAAACTTTAAAAAATTGAGAATTAAAGGAGGGACCTTTCTTGCAGAAAAGCGAGGGCGGAGTCGACTTTGAGGCCAGTTTGAGAGAGTTAAGTCTCGACATCTTCTACGAACTGAGCTCCGGGGATTCCTCTCCTCTCCTCTCCGTCTTCGTTTTGGGGGATTCCGTTGAAGACGAAGACGCAGCAGCCGCCATATTTCGATTGCTTTTCCCGATTGAGGAGGTGAAGACCAGAGGGAGAAAAAAATCACGCCGCCGATCCGTACAGTGCGAGCTTTCACATGGGCCTTTGGGTTCGTTGTTGTTCGAGTGTCTGAGCCAAGGGGGAACGGAGCTTGGGTTTTTGAAAGTGGAGATGAAGACACACCGTAAAAGGTCAAGTGAGATTGCGATTGTGAGAGAAATTGAGAAGAAATGATGCAAGCAGGACGACGTCGTTTAGAAGGTGGAAGGGACAAAGGAGCGCAATTGAAGATGGGCTAAATTTTCGACCTGCGTTATATGTTGGTTTTCTCTTTTTTTTCAGGCTAAGAAGCTGTTTATTTGTCTTTTAATATAATTATTCAGTGCTGAATGTTGAACGGTTTAATATTCTATGCGTTTGTTTCTCACGTTTAAATGATTCAGTGTTGACTGATTCAACAAAACAGTACTAAATGATTCAGCACAAAAGTACATTCTGAATGATTCAAAGCCATTATCAAACAACATGTCACATTCAGAATTAATTCATACAGAGTCTCTAAATCATTCAGTATTTGAATCATTCAGCGTTTAATCATTCTGAAATAAACAAATAGCTACTAATTATAGAATGCCAATAGAATCTTGGATAAACTATTTAGTACCAAATTATTAGTTTTGATTTGTTTTAATATTTAAATTTTTATTTTTTTAAAATCTTACCTAACGTTTAGATTTCATTTCATTTTAGTATCCTTCATTAAAAACTTAATACGTTTAATGCATAAACTATCAATTTTTATCTGTTTAAGTACATATATTTTTAATTTTTTTCAAAACTTAACATTAAATTTTGAACGAGTACAAAAGTGAAACAAAAACTAAAACTTTTAATAGTGGTGTACTAAAACAAAAACTAAACTTTAAATATAATTTTAAAAAAAATTATTTAGTAAAATAAACCAAAACTAATAGTTTAGTACTAAACGCGTAATTTACCTTATGATGAAAGGAACGATTAGAACATATAAATTTGATAATTGTATTTTTTTAATGGAGAGTGAAATTTTATTTTGAAAATTTAGAGACTATCTTTTTTCATAAAAAATTGAAGATATTAGTTTTTTAATAATGTGTCTAATAGGGTCGATATGACGTTATTACTTTAATAACCCAAAAATGTTTATTTGAAGAATATCTCCCACATAGTATTAGTTAGAAAAATATTCTCAAATTGTCTATATAAGATTATCTTACATTCTACAAAAACGTGTTTAATAGACCCATGTATTTTATTGGGCGGAGATCCAAGATATACAGGCGGAGAGAGATATACGACGGTCAAGACAACGCCTAAGGCATGAGTATTTTATCTTATGGAAGGGACAATCCGAATGTGAAGGGAGTTGGGAACATGCCGAGGGACTTTGACAATTCAAAAACAAAATAGACCAATTTCACATCAAACATGACAAGGGCGACACTGTAACCAGTGGGAGAAAATGTCACGAACCAAAGTCCCATCAACTTTTTCAAATGAACTCATCTAATTTTGGATAAAGACAATAATAAAAATATGAAACTCGGTTTTTATAATACGCAAAAAATCATTTTACGTGAATAGTTTGGGATGTTTTTCTTATCTAATTTTGTTTGGAAAATCCTGGTAAATAAATGAAATTATGGGATTTTTTAAAATAATAGCGTCATTTGATATAGAGTAAAAAAATTTCCAATAACGATGAATCAATAAATATATTTGAGGGTTAACACATATATAAATAATAAAATTTTTTAATGAGATAGATACGTAAAATTTTAAAGTAAACATTATCAATAATACGAAGAATTAACTTAAAATTTTAGAGGTTTTTTAGATCTAACACTGCCCAACTCAATATAATATTACAATTATTTTTATATATTTAAGTAAAACAACAATAATAACTCTTTCTAAAATATTTTATAATTTAATTATTTTATTTGATAAGATTAAACTTATACACATAAATATAGATCGAGTTGAACGTAAATTTTGAGTGTCGGTAAAATAGAAAAATGGGCTTTAAGCTTTCTTGTCAAGATGCTCTTCAACATCCATTCTAAGACGAATTTATTGAAAAAGAACAATGAACCCTAACACAACAAACAGCTCCCATTGGTCGTGCTTTAACCCTGATTCCACCCTAACACAACATAGAACCCTAATTCTGTGCGCATTTGAAGATTTGGGATAATTCCTTCATGGGGATAAACCAAAAGCTTCCACGGATAATGGGTCCAAACAAAAGCTACACAGCCAAGCCTTTGAAAACACAAGAAACCCAGCAATTAGAGCTTGTAAATCATGTTGTCCCAGAAAATAAATTGTTGAAGAAAGTTTCCATCTTCAATTTGCAATCGACTGATGATCTGTCAGCTTGTTCTTTATTCTCTGCTGAATGAAACGAAGACAAAGTTTTGTAGTAACAAATGTAGATTCAATCACATAAACCAAGCACGAAATCGAACCATAAATGGCCCTAGATCAAAACAACAACGGCAAGTGGTGCCATAACAACCTTACCGGAACACAGAGAGTTGTACCTATAGAGCTATCAAGTGAAACTACAGTCATGGGTATGGTATAGATCGCCGTTAATCAAAGAGTCAATTCAAAACGACAACTTAAACCAGACCCAGACCGTGATTTCACTTAACAAGCTTTTCAAAGCAAAAACGAAGCTTAAGTATCAGACAAGCTTTCTAGGCTGCAATTTCCATCAAGAAAGCAGTTCCTATGAAACTGCTCAGAGCCCAGTGCATATCTCATCATCTACATCAGCATCTACTAGGGTTCATAATAAAAATTTAAAAAAGACGAAGTATTTTGTTTATGAGAAGAGGGATCCTCAGTGGATTTGCTTATGGATGTCATCAAACAAAAAGATCAGGTCTCAAAGATTTCATGCCATCATTGGAGCCCAACAATGAAATTAAAAAGTTTGTAAAAATTGGAGATAGAGAAGAAGGAGAAGGAGAAGAAGAAGAAGAAAATAGATTTTGCAGGATCTAAATTCGCTGCGCCTGGTAAAGTTCTAAGGCGAAGTGACTCAACTTACCCGCAAATAATCTATGCCTCCCTAAATTGAAAAATATTGATGAGCTAAATTCCCTGAAACAATGATTTATGAGATTAAAGGGAAACCCATCGAGAGACAAGTTACTCAGATTGAAATTTTCTCCGAAAATTTTGAAGAGAAAATTTGGCTAATGACTATAGAAAGAGGCAGAGTGGAAGAGGATATATAATGGTGAAGGAGGATTAGGGTTTTTTGAAGGAAATGAGAGTAGATACCGAAAATGTCCTTGCATATCGCTCTATATTACCAAAATCACGAGCCGTTTTGTAAGGCATCCTCGGGCTCAGCCCATAGGGTTTCACCATGACAAAAAAAAGGCAATGGCCCAAAACATTAAGTTGCCAATCTCTATGATGAACCAAAACAAATTATCAGATTTATAGAAGTTTCAAAAATTTAAGGGTAAAATACATATTTAATATCTAAACTATTAGTTTTGACCTATATTAGTATTTAAACTTTCATTCTTTTCAAAATTATACCTAACATTTAGTTTTTATTTCATTTTAATACACACTGTTAAAAACTTAATGCATTAACTAAACTATAAATTTTGGTCCGTTTTAGTACCTAATTATAAATTTTGAACGAGATACTAAAATGAAAAAAAAACTAAACTTTAGGTATAGTTTTAAAAAAATTAAAAGTTTAAGTATTAAAAAGGATCAAAACTAATAATTTAAGTACTAAACATGTAATTTACCCAAAATTAATTTTATTGATTATAAAATATACCTTAAATATGTATTGATTCCACCAGCCAAAAAAGATAATTAAAAAGTAGGTTTAATGATGTGCATAGGTTATGTTGGGTCAGACTTTTTATCCAAAATTTACTAGAGAATTATATTTTTTTTATGTGTCATGTAATACCCAAAATTTGATTAGTGACTAAAATATAAAATTAGAAAAAGTTTAAGGATTGAAAAATGTAATTTTCAAAAGTTATGTATTTTGGCCCATAAATGAATAACTCACTTCAAAAATAATGTTTTCATGGGAATCGGAATTTTATTAGAAAATTGTGTAAAAAGATATGAAAAGATAAAGTTTGATAAAATATTCGGAAAATCGGATCCAATCGAGAATTTAGGAAAATTTGCAGTATGGCGGAAAAAGGTTAGAAATAGTATTTGTTTTATTTTATAATAGTGAAATTTGACACGAATCTTTGGAATTTAGATTGATTTTTCATATTAAACTGAAATTGTTAATTACGGTGACTAGTTTGTAATTGTTTTAAAATTATAAAGGTAAAATGAAAAAGTATGAGATATTTTGTTCAAGTTTGACTTGGAAAATGATAAAAATAAAGATGATAGGGACAAAAGTTTCGAAACTTTTACAAGAGTTTCGAAAATTTCTAAGATAGTTTCCCAAAAAATTTCGATACTTTTCAAGAGTTTCGAAACTTTTCATAAAGTTTCGATACTTTGGCTCCAACGGTTATATTTCTCAATGACTCTTTTGAAGAGTCTCGAAACTTTCCCAAAGTTTTGAAACTTTGTGTGCAGAAAGTCTTTCAATGGCTCCAAACCTTCCCAAACGGCTATAAATGGCTATTAACTCATTCCAACATATTAAAACTAGTTGAGGACACTTGAATACGGTTATACAACATCTATCCAAGCATTGATCATCAAGAGAAAAAATTTATTCTTTATTCTTTATTTTCTCTTGTAAATAGTGTGTTTTAGTGAGCTAAATTGTGTAAACACCTACCTTGTAAGGATTTTTCTTGTTTACATCTCTCTACCTTTGTAAAGGGGTTTTGGTTATAATTTAGCGAAGTGAAAAATTAGGGAGTTGTAAAGGTTACTCTTGATCCTTGAAAAAGAAAGAACAAATTAGTGAATTTGTTGGAAAATCCTAAGTGAGGAGTTTAGTTAATGGATGTAGACTTCATTGAGGGAGTTGAACCACTATAAATCATTGTGCAATTTTTCTTATCTTTTTACTCCTTACTCCCTAAACTTCAAAAAACTAATTTACCCCCTCTTGGCATATTTCGATTGATCGAACGAGCTTCATCGAACCTAACAGTTTAGTTTTTGATCATTTCAGTATTACAGTTTAAAATTTAACAGTAAGTTTTTGGGGGAAATGAAAGATTAAGTACTAAAACAGGCCTAAAATGATAGTTTAAGTACTAAATGCGTAAAGTTTTTAAAGACGGATATTAAAATGAAACAAAAAATAAATTTTAAGTATGATTTTAAGAATAATGAAAGGTTAAGTATTAAAACGAACTAAAACTGATAATTTAGATACTAAATGTATAGTTTACCCTATATTTTATCCGATATTTTTTCCAAGGGCCCAATGGTTTTCTCAAGTTACATAGGCCGTTTTTCGTATATTGGCCTTAAAATCCTGCAAATTTGTATCAATCTTCAGCTAAAGTAGCCAAACTCATCAATTAGCTATGATCCAATTGACGAAGGATTTGATCTAGACTTCGTCTCTTCGGTAGTGGAGGTGCTGAAACTCGGGTGGATCAACGAATTAGGGTTTTAGCTTTCTTCTTCTAGCTGGTCTCTCTCCAGTCACTAAAGCAAAACAGCAAGCAAATGGAAGCCGGAGATGATGGAGTCGTTGACTCCAAGGATTTGCAACAGCAAAGCAAAGCCTTCGATAAACTCACCGACCGTGTTGAAGATCGCCAGCTCGATTCTTCTCGTGCCCAATCGGTACGCTTTATGATATAAATTCACTTTCTCCTTTTCTTTTTGTAGAATTTTTAATGCCGTTTTTTGTTTGCTCATGGGTTTGGTTTTGATTTGTTAGGCCATGGCATCGATTGCAGCCTCTGCTGAAGCTGAAAAGAATGCTATGAGATTGAGGTTTGAGTTAATTTCCTTTTTATTGATTCAATTTCTGTAGTTTTCTGGTAAAAAAATAGTTGATACTTTGGTCGAATTGACTTGAAAATTTGATCGTTTATTTAGAATTTTAGTCCAATTAGATGAATTTTGAGATTTCGTTAAAGCATAGAGAGGGATTGGAATGTTTTTGCCTGATAAAAAAAGGTAAACTACGCATTTAGTACCTAAACTATTAGTTTTGGCATGTTTTAGTATTTAAACTTTCAATTAAAAAAAAAGATTTAGTTTTTGTTTCATTTTAGTACCCGCCATTAAAAACTTAACATGTATAGTATCTAAACTACCAATTTTGTCCGTTTTAGTACCTAAACTCTCAAATTTTTTTAAAAATTAATGTTAAAATTTGAACTGGAGTACTAAAATGGAACAAAAAACTAAACTTTAGTAATGATTATGAAAAAAAAATATAAGTTTAGGTACTAAAACTGATAGTTTAGGTACTAGACGTGTATTTTACCAAGAAAGTTTGTTTGGCTTGGAATCTATTGAATATCACTTTGCTTTTTGTTCTGTCATTAACGAATAAGAAAGATGGCTCCAATATCCGGCTCATATTCGGATATGGGTACGGGATATAATGAATCTATAACCTTTCCGAGGACCTTCGGACAAATCCATGCCGGATAGGCGGATACATGCTCGTACGATTAAACCTGAGTGTGGATAACATAGATTGGAAGCTTGTTATCTATTTTTCTTCTAGTTACATCAGATTGGATGCTGATGAGTTTGATATCATACAATGGATCATCGCAGTCGATGGATGATCCTGTTTTATTTCAGTTTGCAATTTAAAGCTTCCTTTTCATCTTTCTCTTTTCAACATCATAATCCTTTCATCCTTTCTCGTCCACTTATTTACGGAACCCCTAAATCTCATTGCCGAATCATAACATGTAGGCCTTTTCGAAATGAAAGATTCGGTGCTGTAGTTTCTTCGATTCCCAAGTTCTTGAGTCGTGATTGCTCCGTAATTACTCGTTTTGGTTATCCTAATGCAAATTTCTTGAATGAACTTCTTTGTCAATGCTCATCCTCTATTACTTATCTAAAGAGAGCATTACATTTTTGTTCCATACAGAGAGAAAGAATTAGCTGCTGTTAAGATCAATGCGGCTGAAGTGGACATCATTGCTAACGAATTAGAGGTTGGATATATATATATATATATATATATGTTTCTTTTCATCGATGTTATATGCCAAAGATTCTGATACACTTGTTTTTATCCTTTGCACTGGAAAAAACCTAGTTGGACAAGAAGGTGGCTGAGAGAACACTCCGTGAGCACAAGGGCGATGCCGTCGCTGCCATTCGGTCCTTGCTTCACTAGATTGAGCCGGTGACGAATTTTGATATTTCTCGATTTTTTTTGGCAGTTTCATTTATAAGATGTAGATCATTGCAATAAAAATGGTTGTCCCTTGTTCCCATATGTAATGGGGTAAGGGGAGGTAAGATAGTAGGTTGTCCCCAACACCAGGTTAAAAGCAGTTTCCGTAGAAGACCTCCGAATTATGAAATACCTTCCGTGGGACTCGATCCCACGACCTCAAGGTTAAGATCATTGCAATCTAAACATAAATAGCTCCATCGCTGCCGTTATCACTGCAAACCGGTTGGAATCGTTTGAACTTGGTTTTGAACGTAATGGCTTTTATGCTTATTGGTTTCCCATTCTGATATACATGTGCTTTACTTTTGCTTTAGCTGTTTGTGCATGTATGTTTCTACTTACAGCATTTTCTTTCATTCAAATTATGAAATATTGTAGTATAAAGAACACATGAGATCGCTTAAATTATCTTTTTATGAATGAACTTCTAAAATAGTTATTAAATTTATCGAACGCTTAAATTAAACGTAAGGAGCCGGTAAATACATACAAGTTATCAAGCAAATGCAGTGACACACTCCAGTTAACAACCTCTTAGGGTTGTCCAATCGGTCGGTTCAGTTAACCAATTAAACCGAATTACCCAAATATCATTAATCGAATCTTTTTTACCTTTGATTGTTAACCGAACCGAATTTTTTGGAAATTTTTTTAATCGAACCGAACAAAGTTCGGTTAATTTGGTCGGATAACCAAATTAATCGAAATTTATAAATAATATATATTATCTACTAAATATTTAATATTTTCGGTTAATTGCGTTAATTCGATTAAAACCGAAATTTAAACACTCTGCTAAGTAATATATAAATAATATATTAAATATTTAATAATTTCGGTTAATTATGTTAATTCAATTAATCAACGAATTTCGAATCGAATTAACCGTTAACCGACCGAACCAAAATTTGACCGATGATTTACTGAAAATTTTTTGGTTTGATCGGTTTTAACTAGGGGTGTGCAAATCCGGGTACCTGGATTTTCGGGTACCCGAAACTTCCGGGTCGACGATTTCTCGGCCCGTGTCCCGACCCGGATGTTACGGGTACCCGGATTTTGCAGGTACCCGGTAATCGGGTACCCGATACCCGGTTTTTAATTTTTTATTTTCAAATTATTAATTAAAAAAAATATATACACAAATTTAAATGTTCGAAACTTCGAATTACATACTCTAATATCCGAACATAAAATTTAAAAGTTCAAAATACAAAATATAATAATTCATAATATAAATAATTCATTATATTTTATATAATTATATATAAAAAAATAAAAAATAATAAAACTAACCGGGTACTCGGGTAACCGGGTATCCGGAAAAACTAGATTTTGTGACCCGGGCCCGATCCGGGAAATATCGGGTCGGGTACCCGACCCGGCCGGGTAATTTTTTTTAGAGAATTACCCGATTTTTTTAAATCCAGATCGGCGGGTCGGCGGGTCGGCGGATCGAGTCAATCGAGTCGGATAATTTTGCACACCCCTAGTTTTAACCGATTAGTGACCTTCTCTCTCATTTGCAATATTTTCCGTATCAATCAGTGAACATTTTCACCATCATTGGACCATCTAGAGTTCATGTCAGATACCGTGGTAGAGAATAGAAATGGATCTCTGATGGTGTTTGTTTGAAAGCAAACTTACCCGATCAAACCGATGGATCTTGCTAGCACAAAGAGCCGGTTAAGATATCCGATTTCAACTATCTCATAATCTCTTGCTTGGTGAACATTCCACTACCAGCAAGGAGATCCAAGAAAAGACACCCGATGGCACCAAAACGACGTAGTTTTGGTGTGGTATATTATATTAATAACAGTTAGTCATGTTATTAGTTTGTTACTGATTTAACGACGAAATCATATAATTGAATATAAAATTAAAATTCAATGTTCTAATTTATAATTTTTAAAAATTTAATTATATAAATATATCAACAGATAAAATTTAATGATATCTGAAATAATTTTCCGAATAAATTAATAGCTAAAAACAGGGAGAAATCGGAGGTCGACTCAACATTTTGATCGAAAATCCAAAGTCTAATATTAGGCAGTTAATTGTAATAATAGAAACAAAACTACCCAAAATCCCAACAGCTTTACAATCCCATGCAAACTAAAAATATTACCTTTCCGGTACCTGTAAAAACCACCATTTTTCCAGGCATAACAAGTATATATATCATATACTTCTCTTATAATCTCCGGTCTCTCTCTCTGTGAATATCCGCCGGTTCAGAATCATGGCAGACGCCGCGAGAGAGGTAGAGGATGTCAAGTCGTCGGACCGGCCATTCGGCGGAGCCAAAGGCAATTATAATAACAACGGTTCATCGAATCAACCGCAGTCGTCCGACGGAGGTGAGATTCCGGATCAGGCTCCGCCGCAGACGGCGAACGATTTGACGGTGAGTAAGGAAGAGATCGACAAGTATAAGATTTACGGTTACAATAAATGCAACATGAAATTGGGCGTGGGAGACGCGGAGGCGAAGAGGCAACGCCGCATGGTGAAGTATAACTCTTACGCCGCCGAGAGCAAACTGAAATCGACGTTGATGAACTGGTTTCATTGGTCGAAGAACAAGTGAATAAGGGAAGGAGAATCAATGGGGAAGAAGGGAAATTTTTGTGAAATAATATTTATTAATATCGTTGATCGGAAGTGGCTGTGACGATGGATTCAAGAATGCATGTGTTTTATGTTGTTGGGATCCATTTGGCCATTTTGTCCACGTTTAATGCTCTATTTGTGCAATTGTGCTTTTTTTTTAATTAACGAAGAAATGAATTCTAAAAAAATATTGAGAGATCGAAATCGTCTATCCGACTCGCTGATGCGTTAGGTCTAATATCATATAATTAAGTAAATTTTGAGTTCGAGTATTTGTGAATGTAAAATAAAAAGAAATTAATGGGAGATTCATCCACCACATCTAGGTGTATAACTTGAGTGTTGGGAAATAAACGAGAACAAGTAATTTCCCTATAACCAGATTAGTGAGAATACGAAATAAAAGCGAAAAAGTAATACCCGAAATTGATAACGGAGTTCAGCCAATTTTGCATACGTCTTCGGGCTGCTGCAGATCTTTTACTAAGAGAGAAATTTTACAGGTGTTTACAAAACACTCACTACTCACAAGAAAGCTCTTTAGTATTGGGAGAAAGAAATGACTTTTGGGATGATTTTGAAGCTAAATGAGCTAGGGTATTTATAGTTGAAACTTAGGGATTAATCTTGTAATTAACCCTATTTCTATTTCAAAAAAATAATGCCTAACTTTGAATTCTAATTTGCAACAGCCGGCTGCCATCAACTTTCAATAATGTTGGCTGCCATCTAGAATATTCAACAATCTCCCACTTGAAGACTGATTTTAATCTGTCTTCACACCTCGATCAATGCATCAACTTTTCTAGTCTTGTTATTCTAGCATGCCAACTGAAGTTGAACACAACTTTAGTTTTTCCGTGGTCACCGTCTTTGTCAACATGTCTGCCGGATTTTGAGCTCCACTAATATTTTCAAGTTTCAAAATCTCATCTTCCAGAAGAGACCGAATAAAATGATATCTCAATTGTATGTGCTTCGTCCTGGAATGAAAAGACGGATTTTTTGCTAGATGGACAGCACTTTGACTGTCGCAATACAAGACATTGTTTTCTTGTTTCTTGCCTAACTCTTCCAAGAAACTTTGGAGCCAAACCATCTCCTTGCTGGCTTCTGTAACAGCGACATATTCTGCTTCAGTTGTGGAGAGAGCAACTATCTTATGTAGTTGAGAAACCCAACTCACTGCAGTTCCTCCGAGAGTATAGACATACCCTGTAGTGCTTCTTCTGATATCGACATTTCCGGCTAAGTCAGCATCTACATAGCCTGTCAGTATCGTATCTTAACCTTTGAAACAAAGTGCTTTGTTTGTGGTACCCTGCAGATATCTGAGGATCCATTTGACTGCTTCCCAGTGTACTTTGTCTGGATTATTCATGTACCTGCTAACAATATCTGGTCTAGTACAAACCATGGCATACATGAGACTTCCAATTGCTGAGGCATACAGCACCTTCACCATGTGTGCTCGTTCTTCCTCCGTCTTTGGTTTGAAGAGTCTGAAATGAACACCTAAAGGTGTACTTACTGGTTTAACATCTTGCATGTTGAACCTAGAGAGTACTTTGTTGATGTACTCAGCCTGTGATAACATCAAAGTCCCCGACTTTGTGTCACTCTTGATCCTCATCCCAAGAATCTACTTTGCAGCGCCCAGATCCTTCATAGTAAACTACTTCGACAATTTTTGCTTCAAGTTTATAATATCTTACATATCTGAGCCTGCAACGAGCATGTCATCAACATACAACAATAAAATAATGAAGCTATTGTCGAACCTCTTGATGTAGCAACAATGGTCTGCTTGGCATCTGGTAAAACCATTGTTACCCATGAAACTATCAAACTTCTTGTACCATTGTCTAGGAGCTTGTTTTAAACCATACAAGCTATTCTTTAACCTGCATACCAGGTTTTTCTTGTCTGCCTCTATGAAGCCTTCTGGCTGCCTCATATAGATTTCTTCCTCCAAATCACCATGAAGGAAAGTTGTCTTTACATCTAACTGCTCAGTATGTAAATTCTCTGCAGCTACAATTTTCAACACCAGTCTGATTGTGGATAGTTTTACGACTGGAGAGAAAATTTCATTGTAGTCAATACCTTCTTTTTGCTGAAAACCTTTGACAACCAATCTTGCTTTGTAGCGTTTGCTCCCATCATGCTCTTCTTTGATCCTGTAAATCCACTTGTTGTGGAGCACTTTCTTGCCTGGTGGTAATTCAGCTAGTTCCCATGTCTGATTTGACATAAGCGAGTCCATCTCATCTTTCATGGAAGACTCCCACTTGACTGAATCCTCCACTTGCATTGCTTCATCATAGCACTCTGGTTCACCATTGTCAGTCAGCAACAAGTAGTGCAAAGAAGGAGAATACTGTTGGGTTGGTTTAGGAATTCTGGAGGAGCGTCTTAGTTCCGGTGTGCCTGGTTCTTCTTGAACTGCTTCAGGACTGATCTGAACATCATTTCCAGAAATCTCCTCGAACTCAGCAAATTCCTTTGTTTCAGCTTTGGTATTTGAACTACTTGATTCTACAGTTGACCTGTCTTTGTACACCACATTCTCATTGAAAATGACATCTCTGCTTCTGATGATCTTTCGATTTTCATAGTCCCAAAACCGGTAACCGAACTAATCACCGCCATAACCAACAAAGGCACATTTGTTGGACTTAGCATCAAGTTTACTTCTTTCAGCAGAGTCTATGTGTACATAAGAAATACAACCAAACACTCTTAAGTGTGAAAGGTTTATTTCTTTCTTGCTCCAAACTTCCTCTGGTATTCTGTCATCCAAAGGAACTGAGGGCCCACGGTTGATCAGGTAAGCTGCAGTGTTGATAGCTTCAGCCCATAGAAATTTGGGTAGTCCGGCATGTATCCTTATGCTTCTGGCACGTTCATTCAGAGTTATGTTCATGCGCTCTGCTACGCCATTATGATGCGGTGTCATGGGAACTGTTGTCTCCATCTTGATCCCATTGTTTGCGCATAAATCTCTGAATCTCCTATTTTTGTACTCTCCTCTATTGTCAGACCTCAACCGCTTGACTTTCAGACCATTATCATTTTCCACCATGACCTTTCATTTTCTGAAGGTATCAAATACTTCTGATTTCTTCTTCAGAAAATAAACCCACACTTTCCTTGTAGAATCATCGATGAAGGTGACATAATATAATGAGCCTGCAAGAGATGTAACTGGAGATGGTCCCTATACATCAGTATGAACCAACTCTAATTTTTCAGCCTTGGGTGTCTTACAAATCTTTGCAAAACTGACTTTCTTTTGTTTGCCAAAGATGCAATCCTCGCATAGTCCGACATCTACATTCTTTAGATCCGGCAGCTTCCCTTTTTTTTAAAAGTATCTTCATCCCTTTCTCGCTCATATGACCAAGCCTTTGGTGCCATAGGTTTTATTTTCCATCAGCATCTGCGACTGTAATGATATTCTCTAAATTTGAAGTTACATAGAGAGTACCAGTCTTCTTACCACGAGCAATGACGAGTGCTCATTTGGTAATCTTCCATTCACAGTCTGAAAAAGTTGTGCTATATCCTTCTCCATCAAGTTGTCTAACAGAAATCAAATTTCTTTTGAGACCAGAAATATGTCTCACACCTTTCAGCGTCCAGGTGGTCTGGTTTGGCAACTTTAGTCGGATGTCTCCTCTTCCGACGATCTTCAAGGTTTCATCATCAGCTAGATGAACCTTCCCAAAATCACCACTGACATAGTTCTCCATGATTTCTTGGCATGGGGTGGAGTGGAAAGATGCTCATGAATCCAAGATCCATGATTCAATCGGACTGTTGAAGCTTAGAATCATGGCATCACCTGTCTCCTCTGTCATGTTTGCAGATTCCTGTGCGCCGGTATCTTTCTTCAGTCCTCGACAATCCCTTTTAAAGTGACCCTTCTTGCCACAATTATAACAGGTAAAATCTTTCTTTCCCGTTCTTGATTTTCCCCGTCTGGATTTCGATCTGCCACGATTTGAATTTCTTTCTGAAGTTCTCCCTCTGAACTCCGTGTGCAAGGCTGAGGAGATTGATGCTTCACCCGATTCTCTCCGTCGAATTTCTTCGCTCAGTACCAGATCCTGAACATCGTCGAATTTTAATTTGTTGTTTCCCGACGAACTGCTGACTGCTATAACAGTAGCATTCCAACTGTCTGGTAAAGATGATAAGAGAATTAAAGCTCGAACTTCATCATCGAATTCAATTTCCACTGAACTCAACTGGGTTGTGATTGTGTTGAGTTTATTTAGGTGTTGTGCCACCGATGCCCCTTCCGTCATCCGCAAATTGAATAATCGCCTCATCAAATGAACTTTGTTTGAGGCCGATGGCTTCTCATACATACTGGAGAGAGCCGCCATAAGACCCGTGGTCTTTTCCTTTGCTATGTTGAAAGCAACATTACGGGATAACGTCAGTCGGATAACTCCGAGGGCTTGTCGGTCGAGAAGAGCCCAATCTTCATTCTTCATGCCCTCTGGTTGCTTTCCTGAGAGAGGTTGATATAGATTTTTCTGGTACATAAAATCTTCGATCTGCATCTTCCAAAAGCTAAAGTTCGCACCATCGAACTTTTCAATTTTCACATTCCCTTCGTCTGCAGCCATCGCTCCCACTCGAATCTGGCTACTTCGGATCGTTTCTGACAATTTGTGCGAACCACCGTGTATTATAACACCTCCGTCGACAAACTCGTATCGCCGACCAAATTTCACTATTCACGAAATTCACTATTCACATGAATAGTAACCCAAATAGTAACCTCGCAAAAAATTGACAGAATTCACAACTAAAAGCTCTGATTACCAGTTGTTGGGAAATAAACGAGAATAAGTAATTTTCCTATAACCAGATTAGTGAGAATGCGAAATAAAAGCGGAAAAATAATACCCGAAATTGATAACGGAGTTCAGCCAATTTCGCTTACGTCTTTGGGCTGCTGCAGATCTTTTACTAAGAGAGAAATTTTACAGGTGTTTACAAAACACTCACTACTCACAAGAAAGCTCTTTAGTATTGGGAGAAAAAAATGATTTTGGGATGATTTTGAAGCTAAATGAGCTAGGGTATTTATAGTTGAAACTTAGGGATTAATCTTATAATTAACCCTATTTCTATTTCAATAAAATAATGCCTAACTTTGAATTCTAATTTGCAGCAATCAACTTTCAATAATGTTGGCTGCCATCTAGAATATTCAACATTGAGTCGGTTTGGATTAGTCAAGATAAAACATTGGGAACCAAGAGGAGCTTCGGTTGCATTAGGATTGTAATGAAGTTAAACCGAGTTTGTTTAATGAATATTTAATGTCTGAAATATACAAAAAAAAAAAAAACAGAAACTCATGGAATTTAAAGTACATGTCGGATTCATTGCCTGCAAGAAAAAAAATAGCTTACAACCTCCTCATCAATGACGATCATAACAGTGTATCTGTATTTTCCTCCAGCTGAAGGCAAAAGTCGAGATTCCGTAACACATCTCCCATCGAAGGACGATTGCTCCCACAATCTGACACGCACTTTTGAGCCGTCTCAGCGAATATCTCTAAACACCATGGATTAACCTTTCCCTTAAGACAGGGATCAATGATTTCATGTACATTTCCCTTTCTAAGACAATGCAAAGCCCAATCAACCAAACAAGCTTGTTCCCTACACAAGTTCCGTTTCAATGGTGGCCTGCCGCACAACACCTCGAAGAGAACAACTCCAAAAGAGTAAACATCGGATTTCTCGGTTAATTGCTGCCTACGGTAATATTCAGGATCTAAATAACCAAAACTACCTTTCACCATTGTATTAACGTGGGTCTGATCATCATTCGAGCCTATTTTTGACAACCCGAAATCCGAAACTTTCGAAACCCACTTGTCGTCTAACAAGATATTTGTGGTTTTCACATCTCTGTGAATGATTGTGTACTTGGCAGCACCGGTGTGAAGATAGTGGAGTCCTTTGGCAGCTCCGATGGCGATTTCGAGTCTTTTCTTCCATGGCAATGGAGGTTTATCGGTGTTATAAAGGTGTTCCCTCAATGTCCCATTTGCCATATAATCATAAACCAAAATCATCTCTCCATTTTCATCACAAAAACCTATCAATGAGACTAAATGCTGGTGTCTAAGCTTTGAGAGCATTTGTATTTCAGTGTGAAATTCCTTTACTCCTTGTTCTGAATTAGGGTTTGATCTTTTTATAGCAACTTTGGTTGTTCCATGATCTATGGTACCTTTATAAACGTTGCCAAATCCTCCAATGCCAATGACATTTGACTCATCAAAGCTGTTGGTTCCTTGTTTGATCTCCCATAAGGCGAAACGCCTGCAATGGCCACCTATTGTAGATGTATGGAAATCGCCATCGATCATCAACCAATTGTTCGATCTCCGGTGGACGAAAACGAATATCGCAGCCACCAGGACACTACAGAAAATCCCACCGGCAACTTCGCCGAGCAAACGGCCAAGTCTAGACCCTGGTGGAGAGAACTCTTTTTCATGTTCTTCAGCATTAACAAGCATTGCTGATGGCTCAGGGTTTAGCCCAGCCAAAGTAGCATTTGTGTCATTAACTTTGAAAACCTCCAATCCATTAAGTATTGCATCGTAATGTTCGGGCTTTGTCGATACACTTGGATGCAACGCCACCCATATCTCGATGTCGTCGGCTCCAGGTTGATCTTCGACGTGAACGGCGTAATCCTTATAGACTGGTAATCCTTGAGAACCAGCCCAGGCAATGACATCAGCCTTCTCCACTGTTTGATTGTTAACAGAAATATCAAACACTCTCTGGTTAACCTTAGTAAAATGTAACTCACAAAAATGTAACCTAACGACATATATGAAACCGGGATCAACTCGAAAAACCCAAGTGAGATTGTAATTCCGATTAACATCCGGATCCGGTCCCATCGTCCGTGCCGTGCTATACACATTTAATGGTGCAATATCCTCTGTTACATCTTTTGAATATCGAATTCGAATGTTTTCAGCAGCCTTGGAGGTTACACCGAATGCAGCACCGAGAAGATACATTGAATCATCTAACCACGTTCGTGTAAGTCCACCGGAGTCGTAGTTCGGAGCGATGAACTGTCCTCCGACGTTGATCCGAAACATTGTTTGCAAAGAGGAGTTATGAAGATCAACATGTTGGTCACTATATCCAACCAAGGTTGCAGGGTGCTGGAATACATCCTTAGGCATAGGGATAACTTCGATGCCATTGATGAAAGCATATGATCCTTCAAACGGAACGATGGTAACATTGAGGACGCCGGTTTCAACAGGCCGGAGACCGAATTCTCTAGCCATATAGGCCTGTGTTAGAGCTTTTGCAGTGATGGATGCACTGAAGTTTTTCAAAAGAGTGAAGCCATCAGCGATGACCGAGAAATAGGCCTCCGATGGGTCGAGGTTATCGTAATTAGATGGATAAAAATGGAGCCTTAGCCAAAGGCGTGTCCTTGGGGGAACAATGAAACTGTACGAAGATTTTGATGTGAAAATCCTTGCGTTCATGTATGGTACCGTGGATGGCAAGGAAGGGTCTTGGAACCGAGCTTCGGATGTCGTTGAATTGTCGGACGGTGATAGAAAGTTTACGTCGGAGCTCCATTTTCGACCATCGGAATCGATGGCGTCTTGGCCTGATGTGCCACAAGAAAGAACGTAAGATACTGGTTTAGATTCATAGGGTGCACTGAGAACGATGATGGAGTCGTTAGCTAAACAGGAGTAAATAAGTAAAAGTAAGATTTGGTACGTGGATATCATATTGAGAAAAATGGAGAATCTCTGCAAATATTTTACAGAAAATCTAAGAGAGAGAGAGATGAAGGAAGAGGCGATATGCAACTGAAAACTTAGTACACATACGTTTTCGGGTTGGATTTCATCGTCGTATGTTACTAAATTGAAAATTTATGGCAATTAAATGATAGGTTTATGGGTAAAGTACACAAATGACCCCAAGTTTTTCGATTATTAAAGTTATAAAATGATCATCTGATTATAGAACGTTTTGCTGAGTTCATCGACTATAAAAAGTTACAAAATAACCACCTAACTATTTATTATAATCCAAACTCGTCATTTTCTGTTAAAAAATGGACGATATTCTAAGTTGAACATTAACATGTTGATTATGATATGATAAAATCTAATCATAAAATCTCAAACGACTATTATATCACAGTCATCATTTTACGTCCAGTTTAAACAATCGTCAATTTTTAATGGAAAATGACGAATTTAGAACATAATAAATAGTATCATGTGTATATTTACCCTAGGTTTATTTATACATAAAATGTCTAAGTGAATGAATGTTATTAGTTGATGGAATTAGAAGATGGCAAACTACAGCATTAGTCACTAAATTTTAGGTTATGTATTGATTATTTGGTATAATCATTTATTAATCGATTAATTTAGATCGGGTATTACAGAGACAATGACGACTTCCTAATCGATTTACTCTATTCACATAAGGTTGGAGATTTCCCCAAACCAAAAAATCCACCTTTTTATCATTTGCTCAATTTAAAACATTTAGTACATAAACTATCAGTTTTAGTCTATTTTAGTATTTTAATTTTTATTTTTTTCAAAATCATACCTAATATTTAGTTTTTGTTTCATATTAATAAACCGCCGTTAAAAACTTAATACGTCTAGTACCTAAACTATTAGTTTTTGGTCCGTTTTAGTACCTAAACTTTCAAATTTTTTCAAAACTTAACGTTAAATTTTGAACAGGTGTACTAAAATGAAATAAAAACTAAACTTTAGGCGTGATTTTGAAAAAATTGAAAGTTTGGGTACTAAAATGAACCAAAAGTAATATTTTAGGTACTAAACATGCAGTTTACTCTTAATAATATTTTTAAACGTATATGACCAAATTTAGAGAAAATAATCTCAGTGACAAAAAAATATCTTATAATATACGAATTTAACCAACTTTTTTTTTGGATTTGCCAAAATGATCAACAAATTCGCAACGCGATCTCAAATTCACAACGCGAATTCCAATTTCGCAACCCAGTTTCCAATTTCGCAACGCGAATATGTAAATCGCATTGCGATTTTCCAAATTCGTGTTGCGATAGTCAAATTCGCAACGCGAAAGTCAAATTTGCAACTGAATTTCAAATTCGCAACTAAATTTCAAATTCGCAACGCGAATTTAATTTTGCAACAGGTTTTAGTTTCGCAACACAAATGTTTTGGGTATATAACAACGCATCAGCAGCAACTCATAACCTAAATCCCTAAATCGCAACTCATTCCATCTCCATCTATCACTCTCTCCGGCGACATCCGTTCCTATATCCAACGACATCCTTCCTCATCTCTATTTTTTTTACATAATTTTATTTCTATATAATTTTTCAATGATTTCTCTCCCAAATTATCAACTATCAACTTAATAAATGTATGTTTTTCTCTAAGTTAGTGATGATATCTAGTTTATAGCTCGTTTGTTTAGTAAATTAATTTACAATTTTTAGAATGAAATCATCTAATGTTGATCATGTTTGGATAGATTTGTGTTTTGGAGGGTCATGGGAGAATGTTCATGGTGTTTTACAATATGTGCCTTTACCCATGAATCTTCAACTAAAACTGTCATTAAAAAAGTTAACTTATGAAACTCTAATGTTACGTGTTGCAAAGAAATTGACTTTAGAGCCTCTAAGTGGATTTAGGCTATCTTATTTGAGAAAAGGTAAAGTTTATTTGTTAACCGACAATGAAGATGTTGAACGATTCATTGCTTACATTAGTGTTTCGCAAGAAGATGATGTTACATTGTATGTTGTTGAACCTATAAGTAGTGAAATTGAGTCAGTAGCGGGTAGTAATCAACTAAGTTCTTCAACCCAAAATTTAATGGTTCCACCACAATTTCATCACCAAGCAAATTTTGTTTCACCACATTTCCAATACCAAACACAATCTCAAACCCCACAACATTTTCCTAATCCAAATCCCAATAAACTTTCAGCACCAAATTCCGATTTTCGTATTGACCAGTTAGACGATTATGAGCCAACAGAAAAAATTGTGAGTACTAGTCAGTATTCAAAATTTGATCTTGGTCAATACCCGGACTTTGATTTTGGTCAATACTCGGATTTTGATGATGTGATGGAAGAAGAAACAAACCCTGCATGTAATGATTTTGATATTGGTCAATACCCGAATTTTGATGATGAAACAGCCGCTACCGAGGAAGATGTTATTGATGATAATGAGGAGGAAGTTACAACTGTGAATGAACATGTTGAACATCCATTCTGTAATTCATATAACCCTGAAGAAGAAAAAGAAGAAGAAGAAGTCCTCGAAGAAAAGAAAAAGAAGAAAATGCCACGGGAGTATAACTGGAATATGCCAGAATTACTTCAAATACCGGAAGAAGAGTTGGTAAAGATATCAGTTGATTGTTACACAAAAGTTATTCGTATCAAGAAAGATGATTGTTTTGATACAAAGGAAGACTTTAAGATAGCTTTGTATACGAAATGTGTAGAAGATGACTATCAACTAAGAGTTAACAAATCAAGCAAAGATCGTTTCGAAATAAGGTGTATGATTGACAAAAACTATATGTGGCGTATGATTGCAAAGAGGATAAAAGATTGCGAAATGTTTCAAGTTAGGACTTTTATTGATAAACATACATGTTCAAGAACCCAAGTTTTTCCTCACCATAGACAGGCAAACAAAAAGGTGTTGGGTGGTTTTATGGCTGAGTTAATGTTTTTAAATGGAAGAGTATATCGGGGACATGAAATTATGACTGACATGAATGCTCGGTTCAAGATTAGTATCTCATATTCTCAAGCTTGGAGAGCCAAATGTTATGCCTTGGAATTGTTTAGGGGGTCGCCAGAAGCATCGTTTGCCCAACTGCCGGCTTATTGTCACAATTTAAAGCTGAAAAATCCTGGGTCGGTAACTCATATCAAAACAGATAGAGATGGACGCTTTGAGTTGCTGTTTATCGCCATTGGTGCTGCGGTTAGTAAATAATTATAATTTTGTTGACTCATTTTTGTTAGTTGCATGCATTTCACATTTAAATGATAATATTTCTTGTGTATATGATTTTGTAGATTCGTTCGTTTATTACTTGCATGCGCCCAGTTATTATAGTTGATGGAGTACATTTGAAAGGTCGATACCTTGGAGTAAACTTATTAGCAGTAGCCATGGATGCTAACAATGGGATACTTCCAATAGCTTACGGGGTTGGCAAATCTGAAACCTCTGATTCATGGACATGGTTTATGGGGCATCTTAGGGATTGCATAGGTCCTATTAGCAATCTGACAATCATATCCGATAGGGCAAACTCAATTGACAAGGCTGTTAGAAGGTGTTTCCCAGATGCTTTTCATGGACTTTGTGGTGTTCATTTGTACAGAAATCTAAAATCAAGGTCTGCTGGTATAAAAAATCACAAATGGACATACTGGAAGGCTGTAAAAGCTTATCGGGAAGTGGATTTTAATAAGCATATAAATTGTTTAAGACGTGTTTTGCCTCAATGTGCTCAAACACTAGAAGATGTCGGGTTTGAAATATGGTCAAGAGTACATCAACTTGGAGCAAGATATGGTTTCATGACGTCTAATAGTGCAGAATCAATCAACGCCCTAAGTCGTCATTCCCGAAAATTACCCATTACTATGTTAATGGAGTTTTTTCGAGCCTATATTCAACAGTGGTACTACAAGAAAAGAAACCATGCATGTATTATTTCTTTAAATTCGTAACTTATCATATATTTTACTAAGTATTATTTATTTAAATTTACAGGAACATTGGAACGTCGTGTTACACCATGGACTGAAAAAAAGATAACGAAACGTGTTGTGAAGTCAACGTCCTGGAGAGTTGAACCATGTTCAAACACTTTGTTTGAAGTATTGGATAATAACTTAAATGGGCTTGTCGATCTAAATGCAAAGACGTGTAGTTGTAAGAAATGACAAACATCTGATTATCCGTGTGGCCATGTTATAAAAGTTGCTCTTCATCTAAACCAAGATGATTCAAGCGCATACGCTATGGATTGCTACACTACAGAAGTATATCGACAGACTTATGCCGAGATTGTCTACCCATGTCCACATCCTTCTGAGTGGGACATACCAGGTGACTTACAAATAATTTTGCCACCAGTCATGGACAGCAGGCTACCTGGCCGACAAAATAATCATGATCGTATACCGTCTAAGGGTGAAGAGAAGAGGATATCGACATTTAGTCGGTGCAAGGAAAATGATCATACAAGGTTGACCTGTAGATCACCAGTGCCATCACAATCATCTTTTCCTCTACCAAAAAATGGGTCCTCATCAAAATCCAAAGCTCATATGGTGCCAGGTAAAAGGAAATCAAAATCGCAATCAAAATCAAAATCCCAATCACAGCCGGCTTCACCTTTTGGGACTTAATAACTTAGGTGATTTTTAAATGCAAATGTTGTATTAAGTGTATTTTATGTGTGAATGCATACATTTTCAGTTAGACATTCATTAGTAACTTGAGTTTGAACATTGCTATGATCTGTTCAGTTGTTATCATGTTGGGATTTTCTCTTGTGTTTTATTGCTTGGATAGTTGTTCTATTGCTTCTTCAAGTATCCTTAGCTTGTATTTATAGCTTGGAATGTGTTTGATGTTGTATATACCTTGATGTTGTATGTTTCGATCAACGCGAAAGTCAAATTTGCAACGCGAAAGTCAAATTTGCAACG